AACTCTGGCAGACGGAGCGAGGTAGCTCCACCTCACCTCTCGATGCCGGCTGCAGAGCATGGCAAACTCACCTCTTCTTCATCCCTTCACAGGTATCGTCCTCTCAGACATCATAGAGAAGTATTTCGTGTCACCCACTCTCTTCAGGGTCATCAGGCTGGCGAGGATTGGCCGTGTCCTCCGCCTGATCCGAGGGGCAAAAGGCATCCGGACTCTCCTCTTTGCTCTGATGATGTCCCTGCCTGCCCTGTTCAACATCGGCCTCCTGCTTTTCCTTGTCATGTTCATCTACTCCATCTTTGGGATGTCCAACTTTGCCTATGTAAAGAAGGAGGCTGGGATCGATGACATCTTCAACTTCGAGACTTTTGGGAACAGCATCATCTGCCTCTTCCAGATCACCACGTCGGCGGGATGGGATGGCCTCCTCAGCCCCATCCTCAACAGCGGGCCCCCCGACTGCGACCCCGACCTGGAAAACCCTGGCAGTTCAGTGAAAGGGGACTGTGGCAATCCATCCATCGGCATCTTCTTCTTCTGCAGCTACATCATCATCTCCTTCCTCATCGTGGTGAACATGTACATCGCCATCATCCTGGAGAACTTCAGCGTGGCCACAGAGGAGAGCAGTGAACCCCTCTGTGAAGATGATTTTGAAATGTTTTATGAAATCTGGGAGAAGTTTGACCCTGATGCCACCCAGTTCATTGCGTACAGCACCTTGTCTGACTTTGTGGACACCTTGCAGGAGCCACTCAGAATTCCCAAGCCGAACAAGATCAAGCTAGTCACCATGGACCTACCAATGGTTGCTGGGGACAAAATCCACTGTCTGGATATCCTCTTTGCCCTAACTAAGGAAGTGCTGGGAGACTCGGGAGAGATGGATGCCTTGAAGGCCACCATGGAGGAGAAGTTCATGGCCGCAAACCCCTCGAAGGTTTCCTATGAACCCATCACCACCACTCTGAAGAGGAAGCACGAGGAAGTCTGTGCTACGAAAATCCAGCGGGCTTTCCGGAGGTACCTCCTGAGGCGCTCGGTGAAGCAGGCATCCTACATGTACAGGCACAGCAAGGACGAGGATGCCTTGACCGAAGATGCACCAGAGAAGGAAGGGCTGATCGCCACCAAAATGCACGCGATGTATGGGAACAGTGGGGCAGACGTGGAGGCAGCTCCTGCCTTTGGTCTGGAGCCCGTTCCCGGCTTGGAGACGCAAAGTGCTCCCGAAGAAGAAAAAGGATGGGATAAGGAACGCGTTGTGAAAGAGTCGCTGGTGTAACAGAGAGGCTTCCATCCCTTGCCCAGCCTCAAGAGGCTCTGTTTGTATCTCCTCCTCCAGAGCTCTCCCATGTACAAATCACTAGATCTTAGATACTGAGCTGAGTTCAGATGTTTTAAGAAGCCACCTTAGCTCTCGGAGCAGGACCTCGCACTGCTCCTGGGCTTTCCAGCTCACTGCACTTGCAAAGAGTTCAATGTTCTGATGAGAGTGACGTGCGAAATCTCTTGTTGGTGAAAGGGAAACGGCTGAGTTTGGAAATGATCTCAGCGTGGTAACGATGTTTTTCACACACAAACAAGTGAGGCTGGCTTTCCTTTGACTTCACGTGATTATTTATTGATGTTATTTCACAATTAGGAGGTTTTCTTGGACTTTATCCTTCCAAAGAGCAGCCAAGCAGACGGTGAAAGATGAGCCAAGTGAAATAATATTAAGAATAATTACAGAATAGACAAGATTTTGTGAACAAAAAATCTCCAATGTCTTAAAGTAGCACCTTTCTTTTGGATATTTGAATAAGCTTGATGGATTATTTCTTTTGTTATATACAGAGGAAGTGCAATTACGTCTTAAAGATTTGTTTGCATAGCCAAAACAGAGCATCTGCAGGTATGTTCTCAGGGTTAACTATCAGGTTTTAAAGGTCTCTGAATATGCATTGAAATCCTAAATCACTCTGGTCTCTACAGCATGAATGTAAACAGTGTTTATAGTCATGCTTCCTCCTTGTTTTCCCCTTTCATCCAGGTTTTGTGGTGGCAAAGCCATGGACAAAGGTAGGGCTTGGAAAACCTCCTCCAAGAACCCCAGTCCCTGCAACAAAACCTTCTGGGGTTGCTTCAAGCCCCATAGTAGGAGGAAATACCCCACTGGAGCGCTCTTTGTTAGTGCTAATTAACAAGACGAATCCCCAGGGATTGGAGAAGGTGCTTGAATGGTCCTGGCAAGGAGCTGCTTCAATGGGATCCCTTAAATCCCACCGAGCACCAGGGGCCTTCATGCGCTGAATGCTCCCACTGGGGTGTAAATCCCAAAGTACCCGGGCAGAGCATCCTTCACGTGGCTGGGGCTCCAGAGGGGACCCAGGGGCACATACTGGGCTCTGTGCAGAGGGGCCAGGCAGGTCCTCACCAGCAACCTCCCAGCAGAGGAGCATTTTCCCCAAGGGAAAGGGTTTTGCTGCTATTCAGTTCATCTCTGGACCTCCTCCTGCCTCCAAAAGGGGAAAGAAACCCTCTTGAGATCAAAACCAACATGAACCAAAACCTCTTCCAGATAAAACAAGGGCTGCTTCTTAAAGCCGAAGGGTCTGTCTTTTTGTGTCATTGTAGAAAGTGTTTTGCTTGGGCTGCTTTGGTGCTGAGCCTTTTTGGGTGCCCCATGTTCAGGCTGGCCAGGAGCGGTGCTGAGCTTGCTTTGGATCCATGTGCTGTCGGCTGGGTGGCAGAGCCGGGGTCACTCTGTTCATCTTGTAGTGTTGTTATTCCATTTCCATGTTGCATAGGGTAATGCTCCCTGGAATAGGAGCCTGAGCTGCTTTAAATGGTGTTTGCATGGGAAGCATCCATGGCACAGCAGTTTCCAGCCCGGACTGTGGCTCATAATCAATGCTGCTTGTACATTTGTGTTGTCAGTGATGGGAAAAATACCCAAGAGCAGGATTTGTGTGAGATAAAGCCTTTTTCTTTGTACATTTCTTAAAATAAACAATTGTAAATGGTCTATTAGAATACAAACTGCATTGGTGTGTGCTAGAGGGTGAATGTCCCACTCCCTTTGCTCCAGGGCAGACAAAAGGAGCCCCTGGGAATGGCCTTGGCTGCCATCCTCAGCAGGATCTGGTGGTCCCATCCTGCACAAAAAGCCCCCCTGGGCTGCCTCCCTGGCACCTCATAGGACATGCTGCTTCAGGCTCAACCAAGGAGCAAGGTGCGGATCCTCTGAGCTGCCCCATGCCAGGTTCTGCGGGGCCAAACCTGCCCCACGGCCACGCAGGAGCAGCTCATCACCATGGGGAGAAGGCGGTGGTGGGTGAAGGAGGTTTCTGCGTCAATGCACGGCTGGAGCGGGATGTGACCCAGGGCCCGCTGACGTCGCCAGGGCCATGGCACGGCCTCGCTGCTGTGTTCTTGCCCTGCCTGGAACAGCTCATCCCGGGCCTGGCATCATTTGCGTGAGAGCATCCTGGTATCAGGGCTGGAGGGAGGCGGGGGCACTGCTCACTGTCCCTGTCCTCTCACAGAGGGGGAAAGGACAGCACTGAAACCGGAGCCATGATGAATAGGAATGGGCTGGGGAAGGGTGCAGCTGCCTGGCAGCAGCTCTGCACTGCCCACAGGGCTTGGTCTGGCCATGGACTGTGTGCTGGTGGCCCTGAGGAAGCACATGGGACCATCCCTGTGAGACCACCAGGTCCCCTACCACTGGCTACTGCAAGGAGAGACCAAGGCCGCCTGGACCAGGTCTCTGTCTGAGGGCACCAAGGAGCCTGCAGGCTGTGCAGGGGGCAATCTGGCTGTCACTGTCACTGCAAACCCTCTTTAGTTTGTCCCAGGCATTCCTGTCACAGCTCCCATCTCCAGCTGGGGCTTGATGAAAACCCCCCAGTGCCTCTGGGCACGGAGCATCCCTTGCTGCTTTTGCCTTGCAGGTTGTTGCAGGAGGCTGTGCTGCTCCAGCAGGACCAGGGGTGATGGCAGCAGAACTCATGCACGGCACCATGCACAGCACCCACCCAGAAGCTCTGCCAGGAGGCACCCCTCCCATCATCTCTTTCTCCCTCCTGGGACCAGCCTTTCTCTAGAACCCTTTATGTCTCCTCGCTTCACGTCCCCCTGCACACCAGGTGAGGCTCAGGCTGGCTCCCAGCAGCTCTGATTGCTCAGAACTGGCAAGCACCCCACCAGAAGGGCAGCAGCAGCAGCAGGGCTGGGGACCAGCGCTGCTGGCAGAAGGACCCGAGGGTGTTTTTCACAGGCAGGCACGGTTCAGTGCTCACAGCACAGAGGGAAACCGTGTTCCTGGGTCAGAGCAAAGGGGGACAGAGCTCACCTTGGGCTGTCACCCCTCGCTTCCCCAGGGACTGCCCATCTCCAAGGACTCATAGAGAAGGGTTTCGGTTGTGGCAGACAGGGTACGGGGAAGGAGCAGGCATGGCTGGGACCCAGGGAGGGGGCGCCTCATTTTGGCCACCCCTCTCCAATCCCAGATTTCACCCTTCCCCAGAAGGGCGGATGCAGGAATGGGAGGTGGGACACTGATCCCCACAACGAGCACAAGCATTCCCTCTTCTCACCTCATTCCTGCTCCAAATGGGCCAGCATCAATCCCTGCCCATCACCTGCAGCACTGAATGCTCCAGGGGGATCTCCCCTTGCCATGGAGCTGGGGTGCAACTCCGGGGTCACCCCCATTCTCTACCCCACAGGGATGTGGCAGTGCCAACGGTCACATCCTGCTCCCCAGCCCCATCCCCTGTGCTCAGCCCAGGTTTTGCACCAGATGGGCTCATCTCCAGTTCTGGTCCAGACCCAGCCCAGTTGTGGCCGCCTTCATGGCGAGCACAGCCCAGGGACACGAGGCTGGACAGTGCCCAGGGCGCAGGCACCGGCCGCCCCGGTGTCTGTGTCACATTCAAAACCATCCCCAAAGGGAAAGTCCCCATCGAGGAGCATTTACATGAGCAGGAAAGGGGCCGTCTCGTGTAGCAGCAGCTTTGCCATTTTTAGGTACAGAGGCCGAGCTGTCCAGACCGGGTGCTGTGGGCCACAGGAGCAAGAGCCAGGGCTGGATGTGTCCCTGCTGTTGGCAGTGAGAGATGGCTGATTTCTGCAGCAGGCTCTGGGTGCTCCAGCTGAACCTCTGGGCGATGGCTCTGGTCACAGGTAGGTGCTCCACACGGCAGCTGTGCGCGTGCACCGCGATGTGCCGGCGCTGCCCCTTGCTTGATGCAACGAGGGCTTCACCCAGCTCTGCTCGACACGCTCTGAACTCGGGCTCCGGGAGCTGCTTCCCACTGGGTGCAGGGATGGGACCCTTCACGCAGCCCCTTGGCTTTGGCTGGAGCCTGGCTCGAGCTGTGGTTGCAGCTGGCAGGAAAGAGGAAGGGCTGTGGGGTGTTTTTCACCATTCCTTGCTCTCAGGTCAGCACATCGCTGAGGCCATGGCCAAGCCCCATCCCTTTGCTTCATGGGGCCCAGCACCTGAGAGCGAAGGAGAAATGGGAGGAAAAAGGCTTTTTGGGTTGATTTGTGGGCCTTGTCTGAACATTCCTGTGCCGTTGCCCTTTGCATCCCCATGCATAGATTGGAATCCCAGGGTTTCATCCTGGCTCTCATGTTGGCTTTGAGGGAAGACAGGGGAAGCTCAGCCCACCCATGGCAGCAATGGGAACCATAGAACCATGGCATGGTTTGGGTTGAAGGGACCTTAATGCTCATCCAGCTGCATCCCCCTACCATGGACAGGACCTTCTGTGTGTTGAGGGGAGGAGGGTTCTCAAGAGTGGGACCAGCCTGGTCTTCACTTGGAACCCCAACAAACCCCGGTGAGTAAAGGCCAGTGTCAGGCTGGCAGCAGCACTGCGGGCGGCAGGGACGTGCACCCGGCACAGCCCAGACGAGGAGCATCTCCCAGCTCAGAAAGCGATGAAATGGGGCTGGAAGGGGCAGTTTCCCTGCAGGGATGCAGGTGCTGGAGGTGAACAGCACAGACCTGGAAGAGGTCCCTGTGGGCTGCTGCTTGGGGAAGGGAGGCTGGCAGCAGGGTGGGAAGGCTTGGGGCAAAGGCATCGAATCTTCCTTCTTCATTCTTCCTTCCTTCTCCCTTCCTTCTCCTCTGCTCAGGGCCAGAGCAGCCCCCCCCTCCCCGCCAGCCTCCCCACAGCAGGGTTTGGCCAACCGTGGTCGCAGGGATGGAGCTGAGCACTGAAGCACTGCAGTAAACAGGGCTGGTGCTTCCTGCCCAGCTGCAGCAAGAGGAACCAAGGCACAGGGGCGCTGGAGCTGTGGCAGGGGCACCCATGGGTGCTGGAGGGTCCCTGCCTTGCCCCACTTCCTGCACTGCATTGTGGGCCCCCCAGACTAATGGGGGGGGGGGGGGGGGGGGGGGCAGGCGGTGAGAACCCCCCCAGCCATCCCAGGGCTGCAAGGACAGGGAAGTCCCGGCAGGGAAAACGTTTCTGGTGTAAATGAAGAGGCGTGAGTCTGCCTGGGGGGTGCCAGGCATGGGGACATTAACAGCAAAGGCAGGTTTCATTGGAATGTCAACCAGAAAGCAGCTTAGTTAAGAGAAGATGCAGGAGATGGGATGGAAATAGAAGGGTTTGTACCCAGTTCTGCACTGCCTGGTGTCCTGGTTTGATGGTCCCAAGCACTCCATGCAGCATGGAGTGGAAATGAAGAACTACAGTACGTGCCATCCCATGGGGGACACCTACATGGGCTTGTCCTATGTGGGCTCCTGGCCTTTATCTCAGGGCCCATCTCCTGTCTTACAGGTGGGATCTCAGCAGACAACAGCACCTGGAACAGCACAGGTAACCATCCCCACATGTCCCTCCCATTCCCACTGGATGCCACGAAGGGGTGGGAGATGTCCCATCACCCATTGGCCTTCTCCATCGCAAAGGCAATTCCCAGGCTGCAAGCTCCTTGGTGGCATCCCCCAGCCCTGCTCCCTCTGCAAAGCCACATCTGCTCTGTCCTCCCACGTCTCCTCCCTGTGCTCACAGAGCGCGCTGTGTGAGCAGGCACTGGAGCCGTCACACGGTGTTTGTGTCATTCCCACCAGCGGGGGGGGGTCAGCATGAACTCTGCAACCCAAAATACCGGCTAAACCCACAAAACACAGCCAAATCACGAGTGCTCACATCACCAGAGCCAAGCTCTGCTCAAAAGCAGCATAATCCATAGCAATGAGAAGCTGTTGATTTGGGAGATGCTGGGGGTGTCTCGTGGGAGCAAGATGCCCCCCAGGGGCAGGGGCCCTGCTCTCCCTGACCCCCCCTTGTTCCCGGCAGACAGCGGGTGCATCACGGTGAGGCAGTACCCACGCTTTGTGGGGGCCAAGAGGAACACCCCCATCCAGTTCATCTGCTACTTCGAGGACCCCCACAGCATCCAGTGGTACAAGCTGGCAGAGGGCAGCGACGACTTCCACGAGCTGAGTACCAGCACCCCCCGCTACAGCATCCAGACGACAGAGAACTTCACCAGCTTCACCATCTCCAGCATCACCTACGAGGATAACGGCATCTACGTCTGTGACAGGAAGAACCTCACAGCGCAGCAGCGGCCGCACGACTGCGGGACACAGCTCAAGGTCCTGAGTGAGTGAGAGCTCCCCATCCTCTGCACCCCAAGCCATGCTCCTTCTCCTTCTCTCACCCTTTCCCCCTCCATGGCTAGAGGTGGCTCCTGCCCGAGTGTCTCACCCCAGAGCTGGTCCCTGATGGCCGTTTGCAATGCTCTGGTCTGTCCCAGTGGGGGAGCTGATCACCCCTGTTCCCCCATCTGCTCTTGCTGACGCTTGGAGGTGGAGCTTGGAGCTACCCCTATGCTGTTGCTCCCAGGTCACAGTAACATCCGGCAGGTGCAGAGCAGGAACACCCTGAAGGACGCCATCATCATCATCCAGTCCATCCTGCTTGTCGTCTTCATCAGTGTCCCCATACTCCTCTTTCTCAATAAAGTAAGTGACAGCATCTCCAGTAGTGGGGATGTCCCCAGAGTGCTCGCAGCAGAGTCCTGTGTCCTGGGCAGGATGCTGCTATGGACAGGGGTGAGCAGGGCTGGGTTTGGGGTGCTCCATGGGAGCATGGCTACCTCAAGTGGGAAAAGAAGCATCTAAACCAGTGTGGGGCTGTGTGGGTTTTCCTGTGGAAGTGGGGGGACGAGGCTGGGGACAGAGGCTGGGGGATCCTGGTGGGTGCTGACACCCAACCTGTGACTCTCGTCTCCACAGGGCGAAGGCAAGGAAAGCCTGGAGGAGGACCACACCTATGAGGTAATGCTGCATTCATTAGAGAAGTACCTCTGCAATATCAGCCTGAGCCCTGAGAGAGCCTCGTGCCTTTGCTGGTGTCTGATGGGCACCACCAGCCCCTGCAGGGCACATCAGGACATTTTCCTTCCCAACGCCTGTTGCACATCAGCTGTAAAGAGCTGCTCATAAAACCAAGCCACGCTCTGAGCACATCCAGCATCTACCTCCATCCCCTCTCAGAAGCTGCCCCAGTCTCTGGGGGAACACCCTGGACAAGGGTCCCAAAAGGGCTCACAAACCATGTAGCTGAGGCCCTCAGTGCCACGGTTTAATGGTGGCCTTGGCAGCGCTGGGGAATGGCTGGATGGGATGAGCTGAGAGGTCTTTTCCACCCTGGTTGATGCCATGGTTCTATGTGCTGTGGGTGAAACCGTGGCCCCCTGCCACATCTCAGCCCCTCTCTTGCTGCAGGGCCTGGAGGTGGAGCAGATGGCCACCTACGAGGACATCACCCCCTTCCGGGATGTGAAGGCCAAGTGGACAGTTGGGGAGCACCCAGGAGAAGAGTGAGGGGTCCTGCACCCAGCGCCAGCATCCACAGGGACCGGCCCCAGCTCCTGCCCTGGACCACAGCTTCGATGGGTGCCTGGATCCCAGGCTGTGATCCCTGGTTACAAACCACCTCCGGCATCCCTGCACAGAGCCCAGGCCCTGCTACACCCCTAAAGCCCCTGTAGAAATTAGGAGCCACCTGCAAACCCCCCAGTACCAACCTGGCCCCAAGCCCCGGCAGACCCACACCACACAGCACCGAGCTCCTGCATGGGCAATGCCACGCAAGCCCCACAGTGGGTGGGGGTCTTCTCCAGCCCCACCACCCCTGGGAAGGACAGGACCAGCCATGGTCACTGTGTGCTGCAAGGACCCTCCTGGCCTGCGAGACCCCACTGCAGCCCTGGCAGAGGAGCCAAGGTGAGCAGCACCATGGTGAACAACCCAAGGTGAGCAGCACCATGGTGAACAGCCCAAGGTGAGCAGCACCATGGTGAACAGCCCAAGGTGAGCAGCACCATGGTGAACAGCCCAAGGTGAGCAGCACCATGGTGAACAACCCAAGGTGAGCAGCACCATGGTGAACAACCCAAGGTGAGCAGCACCATGGTGAACAACCCGAGGTGAGCAGCTCCATGGTGAGCAGCACCATGGTGAACAACCCAAGGTGAGCAGCACCATGGTGAACAACCCAAGGTGAGCAGCACCATGGTGAACAACCCAAGGTGAGCAGCGCCATGGTGAGCAGCACCATGGTGAACAACCCAAGGTGAGCAGCACCATGGTGAACAACCCAAGGTGAGCAGCACCATGGTGAACAGCCCAAGGTGAGCAGCACCATGGTGAACAACCCAAGGTGAGCAGCACCATGGTGAACAACCCAAGGTGAGCAGCACCATGGCGAACAACCCAAGGTGAGCAGCACCATGTGGATGATGGAAGAGGATTTGGCGCCACCAGTAGCCTTCCAGCCATGGCTGTACCCAGCAGCTGTCGGAGGTAGAGGATCCTCCAAACCCACTTCATTTTCCTCAAAGATGACAGGAAAAGCTGGGGACGCAGCTCTCAAGAGCTGGCCCGTGCCATGAAGATGTCCCTGCACTGAGGGACCCGTGCAACCTCAGAACGGATGGGACAGATGTGCACTGTGGGACACAACTGCCCAACTGCTTTTTGAGTCCTAATAAAGGTCATGGGTAAATTCCCATCCTGCTCCCTCCTGCCGTGCCCGGTCTGTGCCTGTCCCACAGCCCTGGTGCCAGTGTCACTGCCCTGGGTATAAGGAGCAGCTTCCCATGGGTCCAGCTCAGCTGGAGCCCAAACCTTGCCCCCTGAGGGCCCTGAGCACAGGCTGGGAGGCAGAGCCAAGAGCAGCCGTAGACTTCTCCACACCCCAACAGGTGAAAAGCTGCTTCACTTGTTTAGATGCTGCTGGTGATGCTCAGGGTAAGGCAGACACGGGACCACCCTGAAGAGAATTGAGGGTTTTTTCTGTCCCAGAGAAGAGAAGGGGCTTGGAAAAGCACGGAGTGTCACACTGCTTGACGAGATGCTGCTTTGGGCCACAAATGAAACACAAAAGCATGCCGAGCTGGTACCCAAGAGCTGCTCATGCAACTGTAATTGTGCCAGTGACCTCTGTGTGGCCAGCCCAGCACTTCCCAGTGGCACTACTTTCTCCACAGCACTTCTGCCTCATTTAATGCCCAGAGAAGACTGGGAACAAACCAAGCCTCAGGGGCACCACACAGGCTGGACCATCCTGGTTGCATCATGGAGCATTGCTTGGCTGCAACTCTGGCCACAGCAGGGGTTGGAACTGGAGGATCTTTAAGGTCCCTTCCAGCCCAAACCAGGCTGGGATTCTGTGATTTAGCACCATGCTTGTACTGAGAGAGCAGCAAGGCAGCAAGTGACGGGCAGGACTTGGGTCCTGGTGCTGCACCAATGCAGCTGCAGTGGTAGAGCATCACCATACAGAGGCAGCCGAGGCGGTGCTGGCCTGGGGTACCCACTGCCCTGCTCTCCTCTGACAAATATTGACATATTTAAACAGGATCTGGAGGAGAAAAACACCCCCAGATGTGGCTGGCTATTGGGTGACGGGACACCTGATAGCTGCAGGACCCACTGTTCCCTCTGCGCCAGGGACTGACATTTACCCTGCGACAGCACCACGTCTCCAGTGAGCAAACACCCAGGGGCTTCTTGGAACAGGCCACGCTCTCCTGGCATGTTTATTAACCAGCTCTTGCACCCTCTGCCTCAGTGATGCTGCTGCCTCCGGGAAACCGGAGCTGTGCCGGGGGCACAGGAAATCCAGGGCCTGGAGGAGCCACATCACCACCATGACAGTGGAACCATCCCTGAGCCCAGGGCAAAGGGCTGAAGCAGCCTGGTTTGAGAGGCAATTCATGCCTCTTGAGGAGGAAAAGTCCTTTAAGCCTCCCCTGGAGCTGCCTGCCCTAGGTTCTGTCTTGGTTTGCTCAAACGCAGGGATAGGTGTGCAGTGACCTCTCCTCTTGCCCATGTCCCCTTCCCCATCTCCTCTTCCCCATCTCTCTACCTCCTTTCCACACCAGCCCCCTGCTCAATGCAGAGATATTTCATGTTTGCATCTCAGACAAGAGCAGGAAGATGCTCTTAACGAGATCTTCTCCTTGCTTTGTCCAGCTGAGGACAAGAAACCTCCCAGAGCTCTGGCAGCTGGATCTGCAGCAGGCAGGCTGGAAGCTGGCTATGACAGCAGTTTACCTCCCCCATGGCAAACCAGGTCACCAAAACGATTCACTGACCCTTTACAGTTTTGGTAGAAGTAGAAAGAAAGGACTTGGCAGGAACAGGATTCACCTCATTGATAACATCCATCCCTGCTCACGATGCGGGGGAAAAGGTCCCACCTGATTCAAGTCACATCTCCCAAACTGGCCCACCAGCCCTGCCAAGGCTGCAGCAGCAGGCAGGGAAACCAGGCGGACACAGCAAGTTCCCCCGTGTAAGCACTGAGGTGATTTTGGGATGGGTCTTCCTATGATGAAGAAACCTTTATTTGTAATAACCAACAGAATACGGCAAAATCATCCCCAGGCAAACAACCTCCCCAACCTTTCCATCTCTGTATAAATGACTGCGATTAGGGAGCACCATTGCGAACACTTGTGCATTTATGCACACAGAAGATGCAGATATGTTGTTGTGATCATGACACACATATACATTTTAAACATACCCCCTGCTATATAAGGGGTGGCTCAGCAGTGGCCTTCGTCAGCCTACATGAAAGGAGGAAACCTTCACTGCCAAGCAACACCTGAGCAACGGACCAGGCAGAAATGGCTCCAGGTACTTTCCTTTATTTCAGTTTTGAAGGATCTGCTCCAGGGAGACCTCAGAGCAGCTCCAGTGCCTGAAGGGGCTCCAGGAAACCTGGAGAGGGGCTTGGGACAAGGGCCTGTAGGGACAGGCCAAGGGGAATGGATTTAACCTGCCAGAGGGGAGACTGAGATGAGCTCTTAGGCAGAAGCTCTTCCCTGTGAGCGTGCTGAGGCACTGGCACAGGGTGCCCAGAGAAGCTGTGGCTGCCCCATCCCTGGATGAGGGGAGATGATGATGAAGATGATGATGACGATGATGGCACTGTGCTGTGCTATACATACTCAGTGCCAGCCTTAAATGAAAATGTGGCAACTTACAAATCAATGAGAAAGGATACTTTTCCCCACAGCGCCACTTTAATCAAGGAATTAACTCAGGTAGTCGTTGGCCTAAACTGGACAAGGAGAGGGTGGAGAACATGAAGAACAAGGTCAAGATGCAGTTATAACAGTTACCATTAAAGTAAGTGTTGGCAGGAATATTAAAACTCATACTCTGAGCTCAAAGTGGAGATCAGGATGACGTCTAATGTGCGCATCCAAGTCCTACAGGCTCCAGGGCATTTGTCTGAGGTTAACTCTGGGGTCTTTGCAAGCACAGACGAACACTTGTGTGAGTGGATGGCACAGGCTGAAAACCTTTAGGGCAGCATGGGCAGAAGAGGCTGAGGCTCAATCGCCGAGGGCCAGCCTGCTCCTCAGCACAGTCACTAAAGGGCTGCTAACATCCCAGCTCTCTGCTTTGCTGCAGGGTCCTGCCTGTCTCCTCTCTTCCTTGCTGTGATCACTCTGGGACTGCAGTGGCCACAGGAAGCTGCCACCTTCCCGGCCATGCCCCTTTCCAACCTGTTTGCCAACGCTGTGCTGAGGGCTCAGCACCTTCACCTCCTGGCTGCTGAGACATACAAAGAGTTCGTAAGTTCTGTGGCCTCCGGGCACGTCCTCCACATTAGCTTGATGGTTCCAGGACTGTGTTATTTCCTAGAGCCAGAGACTTTTCAACCATCAGCTCTTGATGAGGAGAAAGGGTCTCAATAGGATAGGACAGGCTCTGTCCCCACCTCTGATCCTGCACAGCCTCCTCCCTGGGGCCATCAGTGCCCATGTCCAGAGCTGCTGCACAGGCTGAGGTCTCTCAAAGAGACCCTGAAGCAGTGGGAGATGGCACAGATGCTTTGCAGGACTTTCTGTGTCAGTCACCTTTGGCCCTGGGCAAGTCTGAGAGCTTAAAACTATGCAGTTCCTGCTGCTGCCAGGAGCAAGAGCTGTCCTTGGGGGTGATGTGATCCACGGGAGAACCCTCAGCACCTCAGCTGAGTGTGAGGAAGACCTTTAGGTCTTTTAGGTCCATTGGGCCAGCACAGAAACTCCTGCTCCCTACCTGCCAACCCTGTACAGAGACACCTCTCCTTTCCTTCTTGCAAGCTGTCCTGAACAGAGCCTGGGCAAGTGCCTCTTGTCTTCAACCAGTGCAAAGGCAACAGAGCTGGGTATGTTTGGATGTCTCCGCAGGAACGCACCTATATCCCAGAGGACCAAAGACATGCCAACAAAAACTCCCAGGCAGCGTTTTGTTACTCAGAAACCATCCCTGCTCCCACGGGGAAGGACGATGCTCAGCAGAAATCGGTGAGTTTTCCTCCCCAGGGCAAGACCAGGCCTGTGTGAGGAGCTCAGCTGTGCCTCATTCCAGGGACAGAGGGTTTCCATCTGGGAGCACTTCAGTGCTTCATGCCTCCTCTCCCTGTTTCACTATTTAAACCCTGCATGAAGCAGGAGAGGCTCTTGTGGGTTATGCCATAAATCACAATCCCACCCCAAGAATGAGGAGCAAGCTGTTGTCTGCACAGGACATGGCTGGGTGGTGCTCCTCAGCTTGCAAATTCCCCTGCACCTGCTGTAGGAGCAGTGGCACGTCCCTGGGTCACCTCCAGCCCGGCTCAGAGGACTCCCAGGGAACTCCCAAACACTTCAGCTTTGAGCCTTTCTTTCCTTAATTCCAGGACATGGAGCTGCTTCGGTTCTCACTGGTTCTCATCCAGTCCTGGCTGACCCCGGTGCAATACCTAAGTAAGGTGTTCACCAACAACCTGGTTTTTGGCACCTCAGACAGAGTGTATGAAAAACTAAAGGACCTGGAAGAAGGGATCCAAGCTCTGATGAGGGTAAGTCACAGCATGTAGCATGACTACAGAATAACAAAGACCTCCCAGACACGGAGCACACACCTCCCACTGTGAACACCAGTGGCATCCTTTGGGCTTCATTTACCTTACAATGCTGAAATCATGACATCCTACTGCATTCAGTTCATCAGTGGGGAGTACAAGGAACCACAAAAAGGATAATAGCACTGCTGTTGCTGTTCAGATAGCAGTACAGATCACAATAGGCCAGACCCACTCTTTCCAAACCCAGCACCAAAGAATGCTCAGTTGCTTAAATCTGCTGTACAACCAACAACAGAAAGTTTGCTGCATCTCTGAGCAAAATGCTCCAAAATGGAGTGAATTTTGCATTTAGACTTGTGACACTGTATAAAACAACCCGTACCAGCATGTACAGGTGAAGCCTATGCTCTTTCACATGAATACAGCACCCAGATTACTGAGACCTGGCAAGTGATGTTCTTCAAGGGTCACTCTTTACTTTTGCTCTGTTGTTTTAAGCGAAACTGCTTATTATCGCCCAGTCATGCTTACTCTACAGCTAAGTTTACCTGTCAGTGCACAGAGCTAGAGCTCCAAGATCTGTACCTGTGAGGAATGAGGCTGGGCAATTACACAGCGCCTTCTAGCATCTAAATAGCTCTGAGAGTCAGGTCCTGAGAGCAAAGAGAGATCTCCTGTCCTGACATTCCGCTGGAGTAAGTAGGTGTATGTATGAGTATCACTTCCAGGTTTTGCTCTCCATTTGACATGTGCTTGGCCATTAGGAAGGAGTACACAAACTAGACAAATAACCACACTTCATCCCTTTATAACACCGTTTACTTAACCAAAGGTGTCTGTCTGCTGTGTCAGGGGGTGGGCAAACCAGGGCAGGAGAGGCAGATCTGTCACCTCTGGATGCATGCAGCTGGGATCTGGGTTTGAGCTTTGTTCACTGGGAAAGTGGGAGAAAAGAGAATTATTTTCCTGGTTCCCCATCTCCTTAGCAAGAGTAACCACAGAGAGACCCGCAGCGCTCCCTTTAAGACCCCAAAACGCACATTCTTTCCTCCCTGCAGCCTTGTGCCCAGCTCCCTTCTCCCTACCAGCAATTTGTATAGCATCCCCCCTGCACAACTGCCCTGTCTGTAAGCACGTAGAAGTAGGTTTGAAATATTATTGGGGGGGGGGGGGGGCGGCGAGAAGCCCCAGTCGCCTCTAAAAGCCGAGCAGGAGCCTCATCCATGGGTCCCTTGGAGGATGCTGATGCACCGGCACCTCTCCATCCTCCCGCCCGCAGGAGCTGGAGGACCGGAGCTCGCGGGGTCCCCAGGTCCTCAAACCCAGCTACGACAAGTTCGACATCCACCTCCGCACCGAGGACGCGCTGCTGAAGAACTACGGCTTGCTGTCCTGCTTCAAGAAGGACCTGCACAAGGTGGAGACCTACCTGAAGGTGATGAAGTGCCGGCGCTACGGGGAGGGGAACTGCACCATCTGAGCGCGGGGACGGCTCCGCCCTGCTCCTGCCCCTCGCTGGCCGCGGCTGCCCTGCTCCCTGTAAAGACAAGCGGAGAATAAACGCTTCTGCCGACACGAGTGTGGTTAATGGGGGGGATGCGGGCCCGAGCTGCTACAGGGGCGGCGCTGAACGGGGGCTTGGACAGGGCAGGTTTGGTGCCGGGGCTGCACCCGCGGGGCGCGGGCGATGCCGGGCGGGAGGCAGGGCCCGGCATGGCGGAGCTGGTGCAGTTCCGGGTGCCCGCCGGGAGCGCGCAGACGCTGCTGGTCTGGGGGTGAGGAGAGCGCTCGGAGCGGGACCGGGGACCCCCGAGGCTGGGGAGTGGGGCCGGGTCCTCCCCGCAGCGTCTATCAGGGCCCCCTCTGCGCTGGTGGCTTCACGTGGATGTTGACAGCGTGTTCCCGATCCCTCTCTTTCCGGTTTTGGGGGGGGGTTTGTTCAGTGTTCCCGAGGCATTCTGGCGGCAGGGCCAGCGCGCGGTCCTTTGTGCCCCCCCCGTGCCACAGCAGAGCTGCACAGATCCCAGAGTAAGGTGGAGCAAGACCCCATCATGTGCCAGCAAAATACTGCAGTTTGCTCAGGCAAAGCATTCCCACCCAAAGGATGGTGGGGAGCAAAGGGGGTCCGGGATGAGGGTGAATGGGGGGCAGGAAGCCTCATGTCCCACTTGGCTCTCCTCCCAGTGCAGAGGCTGGAGGATATTAGAGATAAGGGCAGAGATCCAGCGAAGCTGAGCTTATTGTTGTGGAGAGATGCACAGCCTCAGTGATTGTTCCAGGGCTTATTCCTGTTAAACGGCGCTGAAACCTGCCCTCATTCTCTAGGTAATCAGGCCTTGCGAGCAGTCTCCCGTGGCTCAGCTCTTCGGGCACCCAGAGATATTTCAAAAGCCCTTTTTTTCTCTCTTTCTTTTCCTCAGCATTCCCTGTTTTCAGCGTTTTCGAGGTTCGGGCCGCTTTACTCGGTGCGAGCGCACAGGAACGCGGCCGTGGCAGGGCCTGGCTATTGCGCTGTTATCAAGTTCTATTCAGCTGGAGATGCCAGCAGAGCCCAGCGCGTGTGCAATGGGCAGAGCCTGTTTCAGAAATCTCCCTTGAAGGTAAGCAGAATACGCAAGTGAAACCTGCAGGACTCGCACCTCCAGCAGCAGGGTGGAATCACATGGAACACTCGGTGGTGTCAGTGATGTTTCCCGTGCAAAAGGTTTACTGACTTGTGGCTGGGTGCTCCCACTATGGAGATGCCCCTCCCCCCCCCCCCCCGGCTCCCAGGTAGCATTCAAGCAGTAAAATGGCAGCATCTCTCCTCTGGAATAATCTACAGAGCCTGCTTCTGGGTAACAGATACTTAACACTTGTGATAAGAATGTTTCACAATCACCCTCACCTTTACTGAGAGGGTGCTGAGGCGCTGGTACAGGGTGCCCAGAGAAGCTGTGGCTGCCCCATCCCTGGCAGTGTTCAAGGCCAGGTTGGACACACAGGCTTGGAGCAAGCTGCTCCAGTGGAAGGTGTCCCTGCCCGTGGCAGGGGCTGGAGCTGGAGCTGGAGCTGGAGGAGCTTTAAGGTTCCTTCCAACACAAACCAGGCTGGGATTCTTTGTGGTCAAGAACTAGGTTACCTTCGGATGTTTCTCCCAGAGCAATCAGTGGTATCGTAGTGGGAACCTCACAGCAGAGCCTGGCTAAGCAGGGTTCTTCTTTCCTGCACAGGTTTGTGTTTGCACCAAGCAGAAGGGGTTTCAGCAAAAAGTCCTCGCTCTCAGCAGCAACAAGGACCAGGAGCTGGCCAACCACTACCTTGGCTTTAACGGCTGGTCCAGTCGCATCGTCACAGTAAGGAGCCCTTTATATTCACCCATCATCCTTCCCCTCATCCTCTTCTCAATTATACTGGTTGGTGGAATGAGAGGAATTGTCCTCAAATCAGCAAATAAGAGACAGTTACAGGAGCTGTATTTCAGACCACCAGTGGGGGTATTTTGAAAGCATGGGGAGAGAAGGCAGTTGCCTTGGCTTCTGCTCTGCTTCCATCCACAGCTTCTGCCTTGGACTCCCATGCTGTGCAGAGGTGTGTAGTATATGGGCATAGCCCTAAGTGTTCCTAATATCCCCTCTAATCTAATCCAAATGAATTATCTGTGGGCTTCCCAACAGCTGCAGAATGTATCTGGCTTTGTTGGTGAGAATGAGGACCTGGGAAGGACGTTACCTGTGAAATACCTGTGTGCTGTGGAGGTGACACTGCCCGAACACGGGGTGCGCACGAGGGGAGTCGCCCTGGCCGAGGCAGATGTAGAGAACAGTGCAGGTATGCTCTGGGGGCAGCTGGAAGTCTCTCTCAGCAGCCATCACAGGCCCTGAGCAATCTTGCCTGTGCACAGTTCGTGGGTCTGAATTCAGTGGGAGGCAAGGGTCTGAGCTGCTGTGCTATGCGGCAAGGGATCTTGAACGTGCCTCTTCCCTCCCTGATTCACACTGGCATCACTTTCCTACCCTCTGTTCTCTCCCTTTTGCCTGCAGTGTTATCATTCCTCATCACAGCCACTTCTGTGCCTGTGTCTGTGCTGCCTCCTGCCACAGGCCTAAGGATCATGTGCTGTCATGGCCTGGCACATGAAACCCCTGTGAGGGTGCTGCTGACGACTCCCAAACCATAACCAGCTTTCTTATCAGACTGTGAAGCTGTTTGGTTAGAAAAATGTAGCCAGTGTGCTTCCTATGCAGAGCATCATCTTAATATCAATACTGTGCTGCTTGTTGTGTTCAGATTCTCTTGAGTTGCTCACAGCAACGAGAACAGTTCAGAAACTTGCAGCTGGGAGAGCTTTGGCTACTGCCTTTCAGAAGATACTCCTCATTGTCTTAGGTAAGGCTTAGGTTTGTATTAAACACTGGGGTGGTTTTGCTGATATTACAACTTTCATGATCATCGATACAAATCCATTTTCTCTGTGCTTCTCTTGAGATTCATTGAGACTTGGGGGGTCTCAAGCAAAATGAAGCCTGTGTCTGGTCTGTAATGACTTAACAGAGTGGTTCCACCCTATGAGCTGTGTGAGCAAGAGGAAGGTCCACAAGAGGTCAGATTTTTTGATGATAATCACTGAAATTCCAAATTCCAAGGGTGTAAATGCTGTCAGGGAGAGCTTTTTAACACTACATGTGCATGCCACATAAGGATATGAGGAAGTTCTGCTTCCAGGGGTGACATGAACTGAACTGCAGCATTTTGCACATTCCTGTCCTAGTTCCAAGCCAGCCAGGTGCCAGCAAAGGTCTGTGCCCTACGGCTGTGTTCAGTGTTGCTTCTTTGGGGGCACTGTCTCCTTTGAGTCTCTAATGGTAGGAGCTGGATTTGAGCCTGCCCAGGAACTGCTAGTTCTGCTTTCTCTGGGTTCCAGGTGCTATGCTCTCTGAGCTTTTAGATTATGCCTGTTTATGTGGTATCTGAGTACTTTACTCTTTTATGCTTATCATGACAGATCCTTATGGGATCGGGTCAGTGCCACTGTCCTCATTCTACAGCCTTTCATCTGCCACGTTCCTCCCCTGGCTTCATTAAGGTGTTCATGTGAAAGGTGGGTTTCTGGGTTCAGATGTTGCAGTGCTTCCTGCCTTCTGATCCATCACATGCTCAGGGACTGACAGTTAATGTGCTACATCTCTCCATGGATTTGTTTCCTCAGTTTCAGTTTCCACTGCATTTAGTAAGAGCCATTTGGTTTGCTGTGAAGAAGGAGAAAGGCCAGAGAAAGCAGCACACTGGTTCAGACCAGCCGCTCTCTCTGAAAGCCATTGTGAAGCAGAATTATCCCAGCTGGGGTTTCGGGCTGGTTTCTTGGCATTACACACGGTAGTAACTCACTGTGGCTCTGCTGCTGGTTCTGTTTCAGGGAATGGGAAAGTGGCCATGGAGTACAGTTCCTCTCAGGAGGAGCCCACAGACTGCAACAGAAGAGGAGCTGAAGGGGCTTGTGCAGGTGGGAACAGGGGGTGATCAGCTTTTGTACAGGGTCCATGTGTTACCTCTGGGGACTGGAGATGGAGCTGTTGACTGTTACAACCTCCGCCATCCCTCTATGCAGCAATCACCTCCACTTAAATCCCAGGAAGTAATTACATCTTGGAATTGTACAGCACGTTAAGGATTTAAAACTCCTACTTCTTTGTGCACTGTGGAGAAACGCAGGTGTATTTTAAATGCTAGAGGAAAGTGAGAAGTACACTCTGTACAGCCCCTTCTATGTGACCTCTTTTAAACCCCCAGAGAGCTGACCTAACACGTGCTGACCGCAAGAGAAGCGAGCAGGGAAGTCAAACATGAAGCATGCTGCTTCTCAGAGCTCTCCTTTGGCACAAGAGCCATCCCTCAGCTCCCCGCCATCTCACTTCCCTTGGGATGGGATGTGGGAGGGGATTCTGCATGCTCTCTCCACAAGGCACCTTCCAGGCGGATAGGGAGAGCAGCAGACAGGAATTCAGGACTTGCTTGGAAGGGGAGCTGCTGGGTGTCCTCTTGGTTCACTGCCTTGTGATCTCAGCCATTCCAAAGTGGGAATGTTCCCAAGTTAGTAAATTCTGGGGAGGCTGTATCAAAACCACCATGTTTGCAGGTGCACAGAGATAAGTTCACATATGTTGTAGAGCAAGAAACTGACTCTGGATTTCTCTTCTCAGGTCAATGAATTCTCCTTAGATCAGTTTGACCTCGAAGAAGAAGTTTTGTCTGATCTCAGTTTTGATGCTGAGCCAGGAGATGCCATCTAATGAGTGGAGCTTTGTCTTCGCAAAGTCCTGCAGTGTGTGATTAGGAATCAAAGTCTAATGTTGAGAACTGAGTTGTGCGTCATAGGCAGTGTTTTCATCTTCTCCAAGTAACAGTGAAAGAAATGGGCAATAAACATGGTGTTACTAAAATTAAGCCCCAAAACACATGGAGTTCTCAGAAAGGAAGTGTTTTCCTGTCAACTTATCCACGTCAGCTATATCTGGAAGCCAGCTTAGCTGCATGGTTATTACTGAGACAGCAGAAGAGATGTGCAGAGCACTTGCAGAAGAATTACAAGGAGCAAGTCCTCCCTGCAAGAGCCTCCATGCAGCCCAGGTAGCCCCAGTGTGCAGGAGAAAGCTGGAGACAGCAGGAGTAGCTGTGGTACTTCCAGTGCACAGCACAGAAAGAAGGATTTCTTTCTCTAGGTGAAGTAACCTCTAAAGAAACAAGGCCAAGTCTTGTAGTAACGTGTTGAGCCCCAAGTCTAAGTAACTGGGACATTATCAGGAGCTGGGACACGGACTCGAAATTGTCTGCATCCATCTCCCATGGGATCTGC